CTCTCTCTCTCTCTCTCTCTCTCTCTCTCTCTCTCTCTCTCTTCTCTCTCTCTCTCTCTCTCTCTCTTCTCTCTCTCTCTCTCTCTCTCTCTCTCTCTCTCATACACACACATGTATGATCTAACTAGAAATCACTACAAAAAAAATAAAATTCCAGTATTCAAGATGTTACCGCAGAGTGGTCCTTGAGTCCTAGAGACAGTACCAGTGCTCTTGAAGAACCTGAGCTACTGCAGAAACCCAACAGATCATAAGAACTCAGTTCTAAAGGTTCCTATTCGAAGTTTCATTTTTAAACTGACATCATAACAAAAGGGGTCTGTCTGTGTATGTGTGAGTATAAACTTTTTTTACAGGGAAATAAACCAATTTATCAGAACATCACAAATTCATTGCTTATTGAACAAAATTATCTTCAACAAATATCCAATAAATAGTGCGATCATTTACACACCTCATATGCTCAATAAGCTGCCGAGCACATGCCACAAGCATTGGCTGCAGGCACCATGAAATTAAGATCAGAGTTCAGCATTATCTAAATAAATACGCAAAACAAGCATGCTTGCAGGAATGAATGAATACATATGTATGTATGTATGTATTGGTGGAATTTTCAAATCAAATACAACAGATGATTATAAGGCCTCCTCGTTTACCTCATCCCTCTTCCCAAATATAACAGAGACATTGAAAGTTGGGTTGATGGATACACCTTCCTCCTTACTGGTGGAGAACAATGGAAAAAAGAATCCAGGTTTAAAACTGCTCTTCATATAGTTTCCATAAAAATAAAGATGTCGTTCTTTATATGGCCTATATTGACCTTAGCTCAATTAAGTACTAATTTCAAGTTTTATGTTCCCCATGAGGAAAGTAGACTATAGCCAATAGACAGACCAACCGGTTAAATAGCGGATAGTACCAACCAATGAAATAATGGATGATGATGGAGGGTGGCACCCTAAAGAACAAGACCTGACCCCCCCTCCATCTCTCTCTCTCTC